GTGGCTTTTCCCCCTGTGGCTGCCCCCTATTTTTGTATTGTCTCTCTGAGTTGGGAGTTCTATCCCCCAGCTTGCAGTGCGGAGGCACGCTGAGTAGCCAAGGTCTGAGACATCCCTCCTGGGACACCTCCCCCTGCCACGTTTTATAAAACGTGGCTTGTATACCTGTGTGTGCATAACATGGTGATGCTTTAAACAAACTACCTCATGCAGCCCATCAGAGTTCATGTGACTATCTGCAGGATCTGGAGAGCCTGTTTTAGGGCACGCACCATGAGGAGAGGTTAAAGAGACTGGGACTTTTCAGTTTAGAAAAGAGGAGACTGAGGGGGGATATGATAGAGGTCTATAAAATCATGAGTGGTGTGGAGAGGGCCGATAAAGAAAAGTTATGTATTAGTTCCCATAATAGAAGAACTAGAGGACACCAAATGAAATGAATGGGTAGCAGGTTTAAAACTAATAAAAGAAAGTTCTTCACAAAGTGTGTCGTCAACCTGTGGAACTCCTTGCCAGAGGAGGCTGTGAAGGCTAGGACTATAACAGAGTTTAAAGAGAAGCTAGATAATTTCCTGGAGGTTAGGTCCATAAAAGGCTATTAGCCAGGGGATAAAATGGTGTCCCTGGCCTTTGTTTGTCAAAGGCTGGAGAGGGATGGCAGGAGACAAATCGCTTGATCATTGTCTTCGGTCCACCCTCTCTGGGGCACCTGGTGCTGGCCACTGTCAGCAGACAGGCTACTGGGCTAGATGGACCTTTGGTCTGACCCAGTACAGCCGTTCTTATGTATGTGAGGCTAGAAATATAAAGTGTGACTGTGCAGTTTTAAACGTGCTAACAAAGGTCGTGACAGGGCTTGCAAGTGCTTTGGAGGATCGGGCCATTATTCAAATCGATCCGGACTAACTAGAGAAATGGTCTGAGGTGAACAGGATGAAGCTGAATAAGGACAAATGCAAAGTGCTCCACTTAGGGAGGAACAATCCGTGTCACACACACAGAATGGGAAGCTGAAACAAAAAACAGGACTATGTAGCACTTTGAAGACTATCAAGATGGTTTATTAGGTGATGAGCTTTCGTGGGTCAGACCCACTCCCTCAGAAGTGGGTCTGGCCCACGAAAGCTCATCACCTAATAAACCATCTTGTTAGTCTTTAAAGTGCTCCATAGTCCTGTTTTTTGTTTCAGCTACACCAGACTAACACGGCTACATTTCTATCACTATTCTACTGAATGGGAAGCGACTGTCTAGGAAGGAGCCCTGCAGAAAGGGATCTAGGGGTCAGAGTAGACCACACGCTAAATAGGAGTCAACAGTGTGAAACTGTTGCAAAAAAAGCCAACATGATTCTGGGCTGCATTCAGAGGAGGGTTGTGAGCAAGGCATGAGAAGTCGTTCTTCCGCTCTACTCTGTGCTGATTAGGCCTCAGTTAGAGGATTGTGTCCAGTTCTGGGCACCACATTTCAAGAAGGATGTGGAGAAACTGGAGAAGGTCCAGAGAAGAGCAACAAAAATGATGAAAACAGGAGCTATGAGAGAAGGCGGAAGGAATGGGGCTTGTTTAGTTCGGAAAAGAAAAGACGGCGAGGGGGCATGCTAGTTGTTTTCAGGTATCTAAAAGGGTGCCACAGGAAGGAGGGGGGGAGAGATTGTTTCTGTGCTGATTAGGCCTCAGTTGGAGGATCGTGTCCAGTTCTGGGCACCACATTTCAAGAAGGATGTGGAGAAATTGGAGAAGGTCCAGAGAAGAGCAACAAGAATGATGAAAACAGGAGCTATGAGAGAAGGCGGAAGGAATGGGGCTTGTTTAGTTCGGAAAAGAAAAGACGGCGAGGGGGCATGCTAGTTGTTTTCAGGTGTCTAAAAGGGTGCCACAGGAAGGAGGGGGGGAGAGATTGTTCTCTGGCCTTCGAGGACAGGACAAGAAGCAATTGGCTTAAACTGCAGCAAGGCAGGTTTAGGTTGGACATTAGGAAAAACTTCCTGCCTGTCAGGGTGGTGAAACACTGGGATAAGTTGCCTGGGGAGGTTGTGGAATCTCCATCACTGGAGAGGTTTCAGAGCAGGTTAGACGGACGTCGATCAGGGATGGTCCAGAGGTTGCTGAGTCCTGCCGGGAGGGCAGAGACCGGACTTGATGCTTCTCGAGGTCCCTTCTGGCTCTAGGGATCTCCGATCCTAAGACTGGTGCTTCCTAAGCAACTCAGCGACTTGCAAACAGCCTTGTGTGTCCTGTACATCCAGAAGGTGGTTGGCCTAGGAAGACACATGCCCCTGCCATCCCCTGCCACCGGGCATGCCAAAGAAAAGATTCCCACCTCGCAGGAGAGTCTAGTGAAGCCAGCAGCCTCTTCCCATTTTGGGGAGTAGCTGGATCCAGACCCGAACCTCCCAGCTTAGGCCTGCCTGAGCCTGGTTCTTTGCGTCCTGGGGGCCGACTCGTCTCGTTTCTAAAGCGCTCCGTGTTTCTACCCCCGGCGCTCCTGCTTCCGAGCCACTGGGCCTGATCGCACGGTTCTGTCCACAGTGAACAACGTTGGCATGACCTATGCACCAAGGCCGGTGAATTTCCTGGATGTCCGTGACCCCGAGAAGGTTTGTCTGGTTCACAAGCTGCTGATGCGCTAGGCTCCCCGGGAACCCGGGTGGGTTTTTAGTGCCCTTGGAGCGAGGACGTAGAAGCGGGTGGTTTGCAAGCATGCGAGGCGTCTAGGACAGCCAAGCGTCCACTTGAGGCGTGGGAAGCGAGTTGAGTTGAAAGACCAGCCCATGGACTAGGGCAGCTGTAACCCACCTCCTGACACGTCCGGCTTCCCCTTGCCAGGCCCGGGTGGGTCCCCGTGCAGGAGAGAGCTCAGGGAACGGGCAGAGTTATCGTGACGAGTCTTTTCCTACAGGAAGAACTTTCTTGACTTCAGGGCACAGGGCTGGCGGTGTTGGTGGTGCAAGAGCCACGATGGGGGGAGGGGGTTGAGGAGGAGCTATGGGAAGGAGGCTGGGGGGATGAGACGTTTGGGGGGTAAAGAGGGGCTCAGGGCCAGGGAACCCATCTGTCGGGGCTTCCTCACCCCAGCCCCTGGCTTTCCCTCCTGGCTCTCCACACCTCATGCAGCCCACAGGCCAAAAAGTTTGCCCTCCCCCCCCCCACTCCCCAG